GGCGCCGGCGAAGAAGTGGGGTGTTTTTTTGGGGTGACGGTGTCGAGCAAAGAGAGGGGAGGGGAGGAGAAGGGATGAGATGGAGATGGAGAGGGAGGAGGGGAGAGGTTGAAGGCAGAGGAGAGAGGGAGGAGGGGAGGGTTGGGAGGGAGGAGGGGAAGGTTGGAGGGAGGAGGGATGGTTGGAGGACGAGGGGAGGGTTGGAGGGAGGAAGGGAGGCGTTGGAGGGAGGAGGAGGGTTGGAGGGAGGAGGGGAGGTTGGAGGAGGAAAGAAGGAAAGAAGGAAGAGGAGGGGAGGGAGCAGGGTTGGAGAGAGGGAGGGAGGGTTGGAGGAGGAGGGGAAGAAGGAAGGAAGGAAGTAAGGGAGGAAGAGACGTAGGAAGGGAGGGAGGAAAAAAGGGAGAAGGAAGGACGTTTTACACGATTCCCTCCGCCTCGTCCCTTCGTCCTCTCCGTTCGTTTTTGTTCAACCGTCGCTTCTCCTCGTTTATTGTCGTGTTTTTTGCTTCCTGATTATCCTCCCCTTCCTCATTTTGCTTCCGTTCCTTAAACCTTTTCCCTCGCCGCTTCCCCTTCGTCTTGCGCCTCGTCTTACGCCTTGTAATTTTTCCTCTCCTATCTCCTTCTCTTCCATTTTCGCTCTCCCCTTCCCGTCTGTTTTCGCTCTCCCCTTCCTTCCCTTCCCTTCGCCCCTTGGCCCCTTCCCCTTCGCCCCTTGGCCCCTCCCCCTTCTCTCCGCCCCCCTTTTCCTTACCTCGCCTTCACCCCTCCCCTCCTCCCTTACCTTCCGCGGTGGCCTCTTCCCTTCCCCCCTCCTCCCACTTTCCTCTTTCCTCCTTCCTCCTCCTTCCTTCTTCCTTCCTGCTTCCTGAGGGAGAGAGAGAGGGAAGAGAGAAGGCGTAAAGGGAGGGGGAGAGGGATTAAGGGAGGGAGGGAGGGAGAGGGAGAGAGGAGACGAGGTAGGGGGCGGGGAGGGAGGAGGGAGAGGGAAGTAGGGAGACGCGTAGAGAGACCGAGGTAGAGGGAGGGAGGGAGGGAGGGAGGAGAGCGGGAGAGAGAGACGAGGTAGGGGGCGGGTGAGGGAGGTGGGGTGGAGAAGAGAGTAGGGAGAGTAGAGAGAAGGATAGGGAGGGAGGTGGGGAGAAGGCGAGAGCGAACGGTTAGGAAGAGGAGGAGAGGGGAAGTAGGAGGTGGAGGAGGTGGAGAGGGAGAGCGAACGGGTTAGGGAGGAAGGGGGAGGTGGGAGGAGGCGTGAGGGCGTGGAGTCTCGTTGGCATCCAGTGTAATCCGGGCCTCAGACAAGTTCACACCCGGCGAGCGAGCGGGCGAGTGGGCGGCCAGGCGAGCGACGGCGTGTTGTGGGTGTTGCGTGTGCGTGTGTGTGGGCGTTCGGCGTCGTGGATACCGGGCGCCGGCGTTCTCTGTGGGCTTTCGTGGCTGCGTTCGAAGGTGAATGTTGTGGCTTTGTTTTTTTTGTGTGTTTCGTTGTGTTTTGTACATTTTTTTTTTTTTGTGTTTCTTTTGTTTTTTTTTTTTCTTTCTTTTTTGTGTGATTAATTTTTCTTTCTTTCTTTTTGTGTGGTTCATTTTTTTGTCATTCATTTTGTTGTTTTTTCTTTATGTGTCATTCATTTGTTTTTGTTTATTCATTTATTTTTGTGTGTATCAGTGACCTGAAGATTTTTTTCCTTGTGTGATCCGCATCGGGAATTTAAGGAAAAAAAGAGACAATCTGTGGATTTTGGTGAATAAGTGTCGCGTCTTGATAAACGTGCGGAGAAGAGAAAAAAAGGAATAAAAAAGGTAGAAAGACCAGGAAATAATTGAAATTTAAAGACAAAAAAATGGGGAAAATATGTTGGACGAGTTTGCTCTGCTTGCTCGGAGGGGGGTGTGGAGGGAGGAGGGGGAGAGGGGTGAGGGGGTGAGGGGTGAGGGTGAGGGGTGAGTGGAGGGTGAGGGGAAGGAGGGTGGGGTGAGGGGGGATTGCAACCTTGCCTTCGAGGGGGTGCAAGATGCGGGGTGGGGAGGTTGCAAAGGGGAGGAGGAGGAGGAGGTGCGGGATAGGGTTGCGAGGGAGGAGGGAGGAGGGAGAGGGGTTGGAAAGGGAGGAGGATAAGAGGAGAAGGAACAGTAAGAATGATAAGAAGTGGGAGAAGGGGAAGGGAAGGAGGAGAAGAAAGGAAGGAAAGGAAGAAGGAGAAGGGGAAAGGAAGGAGGAGAGAAAAAAGAAAAGAGAGGGAGAAGAAGAAAAAAGGGAGAAAAAGAAGAGGGAGAAGAAGTAGAGAGAGGAAGAGGAAAGAGGAAGAGGAGAGAGAAAGAGAAAGAGACAGAGAAAGAGGGAAGAGACAGAGGAAGAGGGAGAAGAGAGGGAGAGGGAGGAGGGAGGGAGGAAGGGGGGTTGATGAGGGTAACAGGTAGCGTCCGGACCCGCCCGCGGTGCTCTTGATATGGAGGTTATTCGTCCCGGGCATTTAAACCCCCCCCGCGCCCTGTTGTTGTTGTTCCTTAGAGGGGTTCCTTTGGGGGGTTCCTTAGAGGGGTTCCTTAGAGGGGTTCCTTTAGAGGGGTTCCTTTGGGGGGTTTCCTTAGAGCATTTAAAAACCCGCGCCTGTTGTTGTTGTCCTACGTGGGGGTTCCTTTTGGGGGGGGTTCCTTGGGGTTCCTTTGGGGGGTTCCTTAGAGGGGTTCCTTAGAGGGGTTCCTTTGGGGGGTTCCTTAGAGGCATTTAACCCCGCGCCCTGTTGTTGTTGTTCCTACGTGGGGTTTTTTGGGGGGGGGGGTTCCTTAGAGGGGTGCCTTATGGTTCCTTTTGGGGGGTTTCCTTAGAGGCATGTTCCTGCGCCCTGTTGGGTTCCACGTTGGGGTTCCTTTGGGGTTCCTTTGGTTGGGCGAGTTCCTTAGAGGGGTTCCTTTTGTGGGGTTCACTTAGAGGCAATTTAAACCGCGCCCTGTTGTTGTTTGTGTCCTACGTTGGGGGTTCCTTGTGTAGGGGTCCTTTGTGGAGCGTTCCTACGTGGGGTTCCTTAGAGGGGTTCCTTAGAGGGGGCGGGTTCCTTAGAGGGGTCCTTTGGGGGGTTCTTTGAGGGGTTCTTTGGGGGGGTTCCTTTGGGGGGTTTCCGGTTCTACGTGGGGTTTCCTTTGTGGGGGTTCCTTTGAGGGTTCCTTTGTGGGTGGTTCCTTTGCTCGGGGTTCCTTTAGAGGGGTTCCTTAGAGGGGTTCCCTTTGGGGGTCCTACGTGGGGTTTCCCCTTTGTGTGGGTGCCTTTAGAGGGGTTCCTTGTGGGTTCCTTTGGGGGGTTCCGTGGGGTTCCTTTGTAGGGGTTCCTTTGTGGGGTTCCTTTGTGGGTCCTTTTGTGGGTCTATTTGTTTGTATTTCTTTTGATTTCTTTTTCGTTCTTCTGTTTTTTTCAGGTCTTTTTCTTTTCCTAGGTCTGTCTGTTTGTCTGTTGTTTTATCATTTCTCGGTTTTAGTGTTTTTTTTTTTATTCTCTCTTCGTGTCTCGTATCTCTTTCTCTCTTTTTACCTCGTTCGGTTTAACCTCCTTTCTTATTCTTCTGTGTCTCTCTTCCTCTCTTTATTTTTTTATTTTTTGTTATTCAGCCTCGTTTCTTTCTTTCTGTCTCGTTCTCTTTATTGTTCCCCTTTCTTCAATCCTTTCTCTCTCTCTCTCTCTCTCTCTCTCTCTCTCTCTCTCTCTCTCTCTCTCTCTCTCTCTCTCTCTCTTCTCTCTCTCTCTCTCTCTCTCTCTCTTTTTTCTTTCTTTCTCTTTCTCTTCTCTTTCTCTTTATTTTCCTCTTCTTCAACCCCTTTCTTATTCCTTTATTTCCTTTATTTTCCTGCTTGTCCGAATATTTTTTTTCCATATTTCCCTATCTCCTTTGTTTGCGTATATCGACGACGACGGAGAGACAAAACAAAAATAACGATAATAAAGTAGAACAAGACGAAGAAATAAAAAAAAGAGAAAAGAAGCGAAACAGGAAAGACAAAACAAAATAACGATAATAAAGTAGAACAAGACGAAGATAAAAAAGAGAGAAAAAAGAAAATGAGAAAAGAAGCGAAACGGAGTGAAATGAAGTAAAGTCAAATAGATGCGCAGATAAAAAGGACGGCCGTTGACTCGTATTGCTTCGAAGGAGGACGCTGGACTAGAAATATTCGCCCCCCCCTCCCCCTCTCCCCTCTCCTTCCCTCTCCTCTGCCCCCACCTCCTCTCTTACTCCTTTCCTCCGCTCTTACTCCTTTTTCCTTCTTTCTTCTCATTTCTTCCCCTTCCTTCCCCTTTTTTCCTCTTCCTTTTCCCCTTCCATCTCCTCCTTCCTTCTCATTTCTCCTCCCTCCTTTTCCTCCTCCTCTCCTCCTCCTCTCCCCTCCTCCCCCTTCCCCTCCCCTCACCCTCACCCCTCCTTCCCCCTAAGGTGCTGCTGACCGCTCATCCTCCTGCTGGGCGACGGCGCGACTGCCTCTGCTTCTTCTTGGTCAGGGGTTAGGAGGAGGAGGGAGGAGGAGGATAGGAGGAGGAGGATGGAGGGAGGAAGAGGAGGTAGGAGGAGGAGGAGGATTGAAGGGGGAGGGGGAAATAGAGGTAGGAGGAGGAGGAGGAGGAGGAGGAGGAGGAGGAGGAGGAGGAGGAGGAGGAGGAGGGAGGAGGAGGAGGAGGAGGAGGAGGGGGAAGGGGGGAAGGTAGAGAGAGGAAAGAGAGGGAGGAGGGGGAGAGGGAAAAGGTGGAAGAGGAAGAGAGGGGAAGAGGAAGAGGTGGAGGTGAGGGGGGAAGAGGAAGAGGAAGAGAGGGGGAAGAGGGAGAGGAGGAGGGGAAGAGAAAGAGAGGAGGGGGAAGCAGGAAAGAGGAGGAGGAAGAAGAGGAAGAAGAAGAAAAGGAGGAGAAGAAGGAGCAAAACGAGGAGGAGGAGAAGAGGGGAACGGTCAAGGAGGGGGGGAAGGGGAAGAAGTTTTTTTTTTTTTTCGCGCAGTTTATGTAACATTTTTTCGCGTGGTTGAGCCTGTGATGCTGTCGATGCGGTGGGAGAGGCCGCTCGGAGCTCCTGTGACGGCGCAGGCTGGCTGGTTGTTCGTAATGGTGATATTATGGAATGTAGTAATGAATGATATCGAATTGTAATGATGGCTAATGCGCGTGATATGGTATAAGGTAAAGGTGATATAATGATGGTAATGGGAGTAGTAATAGTAATGATGTATTAATGATAATGATAATAGCGATGGTGATTTAGAATGGTAATGGTAATATAATGATGGTAATGGGAGTAGTATGATGATGAATGATAATAGCGATGGTGATTTAGATGGTAATGGTAATGATGGTAATGAGAATGATATAGCGAATAGATGTAATGGTATAATGATGGTAATGATAGTATTAATGATGATGATAGCGATGGTGATCATGGTAATGATAGTGATAATAGTGATCATAATAATGATAATGATGATCAATGATAATGAAATCGATAGCGTGACAATCATAATCATATTAGTAATAAACAAAAAAAAACAATGAAATATTTTTGAAAAGCTAAAAAAAAAAAAAACACACGAGCGTCTCACAAACCCGAGACGCAACGATCCAAGTTTCGTTTCTTTTCGATTTTTTTTTTTTTTCGAAAATATCGAATTCGGAAAGTTTTCGGACTCTCTTTCTCGACTTCCCGGCCTCCGAACAGGGGCGGATACGCGTTGCATCCTGAACGGTGGTGATCGATGCTGCTGCAAGGTGGTGATGCAACGGAGGGGGGTGGGGGAGGGGGAGGGGGAGGGAGGGGGATAGGGGAGGGGGAGGGGGAGAGGGGGGAGGGGGTAGGGGGAAGGGGAGGGGGAGGGGGAAGGGGATGGGGAGAGGGGGAAGGGGGGAGGGAGGGGAGGGGGAAGGGGAGGGTGGGGAGAAGGGGGAGGGGAGGGTTGGGGGATGGGGAGGGGTTGGGGAGGGGGAAGGGGGAGGGGGAGGGGGGGCAGGCAACGGGAGTCTCGATCTCGGGGGTCTTACTGTTGATTCTGTTGCAGCTGCTTCTCTTTGGGGGTTGGGTGGGGTGGGGGGTGGGTGGGGAGGGGGGGGGGGGGGAGGGCGAGGTTCTGAGGGGGGGAATATTATTCTCTTTTCGTGTTTCGTTTTTTAGTTTTTCGTTTTCCTCTCTTTCTTTCATCTTTGGTTTTATCTTCCTCTTTTTTTCCTTGCCTCTTACTCTCTTTCTTCCTCTTTTCTTCCTCGGTTCTCGTACTTCTTCTTTTCCTTCATATTTCACCCCCTTTCTCTGTTCCTTCCTTTTTTTGAAGATCTCTACACGGCTATTTAAAAATAAAATAACGTCTTTTAGCTTTTTTACGTAATTTAGATATTTTTACGTCTTTTTAGGAATTTTTAACGTCTTTTTGAGGAATTTTTACGTCCTTTTTTGAGGAATTTTTAACGTCCTTTTGAGGAATTTTTACGTCTTTTTTGAAAATTTTTACGTCTTTTTGGAATTTTTTACGTCTTTTTAAAATTTTTATTTTTAAATTTTTACGTCCTTTTGAGGAATTTTTACGTCTTTTTTAAAATGATTTTTACGCCTTTTTGAGGAATGTTTACGTCTTTTTGAGGATTTTTTACGCCTTTTAAAAAAAGATTTTTAGGGCTTTTTGAGGATTGTTTACGTCTTTTTAAATATTTTTTACGTCTTTTTTAATATTTAAACGTCTTTTTGAAGTTTTATATTGCGTCTTTTTGCTCGTTCTTCACTAGTTTCCGACGGACGCGAATGCCTGTCGACCTCTCTCGCTCGTGCTTTCGAACAGACACTTTTGTGGTGGAAATTTTACGTGCGTTGAGCGAGAGGTGGTGGGGGCGTCCTCACCGTTGTTGTTTTTCTTCTTCTTGTTCTTGATCATCTTCTTCCTCCTCTTCCTTTTCCTCTTCTTCCTCTTTTTCTTCCTTCTTCTCTCTTCTTATCTTTTTTCGCCTCTCCTTCCTATTCTTATTTTTTCTCCTCTTCCCTTCCTCTTCTTCCTCCTCCTCCTCCTCTTCCTCCTTCCCTGCTCTCCTCTTCCTCTTCTTCCTCTTCTTCGCTCCTCCTCCTCCTCCCTCCTCCTCTTCCTCCTCGCTCCTCTCCTCCTCCTCCTGTCTTCAGCTGCTACGGCCGGATGTTTGTTATAGTGTGGCGGCGAGATGATGGGGTTGGGGGGAAGGAGGAGAGGAAGGGAGGAGGAGGGAGGGAGGGAGGGGAAGAGGAGAGAGGGGGAGGAGGAGGAGGAGGAGGAGGGGAGGAATGGAGGGAAGAAGGGAGGGAGGTAGGTAGGGAGGGGGAAGAGAAAGAGGAGGGGGGAGGGAGAGGGGGAGGGGAGGGAGGGAAGGGAGGGAGGAGCGGACAAGGTGTGTTGTCTTGCGCCGGAGTCGTTGGCGGCGCTGATACTCGCTTCTCTGTTCCTTGTCTCTGAAAAGCATCTCTTTGTTTCGCGTTTTTGTCTCTTTCCCCTTTTCCAGATTTTTGATATTTGCTTTCTCTTATGTCTGTCTTCCCCCCCTCTCTCTCTCTCTCTCGTCTTCTCTCCCTCTCTCTCCCCTCTCCGCCTCTCTCGCCCTCTCTCTCTCTTCTCTCTCTCTCTCTCATCTCTCTCCTCTCTCTCTCTCATCTCTCTCTCTCTCTCTCTCTCTCTGTCTCTCCTCTCTCTCTCTCTCCCCTCTCTTTCCTCTTCTTCTCTCCCTCCTCCCCTCTTCCCATCTCCCTACACTCCCCCGCCGCGCGCCTCTTCCCCCCCCCTCGTGGAGATTTCAATGACCCCCGCAGTAGTTATCATCACGGGTTGACTAGTGCGCAAGTCCGCCCCTTCCCCTCCTGCCAACCCTTCTCCTTAACTCACTCCTCCTTCCCTCTTCCTCCTTCTTCCTCTCCTCCTCTTCCTCCCTTCCTCCTAGCCTTCTCTCTTTCTTGTTCTTCTTCATCATCATCTTCTTTTCTTCTTTTTACTTCTTCATAATTTTTTTTTTCCTTTCTTTTCTTCTCTACTTCTTCCGCCCTCCCTTCCCATCCCCCTCTTCCTTCCTCCTTCCTTCCTTCTTCTTACTTCTTTCTCCTTCCTTCCCTTCCTTCCTTCTTCCTTCCTTCTTTTCTTTTCCCTCACCCTCTCTGCCCTCCCTCCCTCCTTCCCTCCTTCTCCCTCTCCTCCTCCCTCTCCCTCTCTCCTCTCCCTCTTCCCCTCCTCTCCACTCTCCCTCTCTCTCTCCTCATCTCCCCTCTCTCCCTCTCCTCTCCCTCTCCTCCACCTTTATCTTTACCCTGCGTATCCTTTCTGCTTCCCTCCATTCATAGTTCATTGCGTACGTCGTCCGTCCTCCGTCCGTCCTTTCGCTCCCTGTTCATTCATGGCGTTTATTTTATTTTTTTATTTTATTTATTTAATTTTTTTTTTTGACGCAAGGTCTACGTACAATGTCCTTATAGGGCCTCTCGGTTTTTGCGTGCGCTTTGTAATGCCGTTTTTGCTCTCTCTCTCTCTCTCTCTTCTCTATCTCTCTCTTCTCTCTCTCTCTCTCTCTCTCTCTCATCTCTCTCTCTCTCTCTCTCCTCTCTCTCTCTCTCTCTCTCTCTCTCTCTCCTAGTGCGGCTGTCCTTTTTTTTTTTTTTACGGTGTCAGTGTCGGTTCGTTTGTTTTTGTTTTGTTTTGTTTTTGTTTTTTTTTGTTTTTTGTTGTTGTCGCATCGGTAATTTTGTTTTATTGTTATTATTATTATTGTTGTCATTGTTATTATTATTATTGTTGTTATTTTATTATTATTATTATTGTTATTATTATTATTATTATTGTTGTCATTGTTATTATTATCATTGCTGTTATTGTTATTATTATTTTTGTTGTTATTGTTGTTATTATATTATTATTATTATTATATTATTATTATTATATTATTATTAATATTATTGTTGTTGTTTTGTTGTTGTTCTTGTTTGCTCTTATTCTTGTTTCTTTTTTCCGTTCACTTGCTCTGTATTTACTTATATTTTTATTATATTTATTTTATATTTATATTTTATATATTTTTTTTCTGGTTTTCGTTTTATTCGCCGTGCTGAAAAAATCCCCCGTTTTTTTCTTTTTCTTCTGTTGTCATGATCTCTCTCTTCTCCCTCTCGTCATGATCTCTCTCTCTCTCTCTCGTTCTCTCTCGTTTTTTTTTTTTGTTTTGTTTTTCTTCTGTTGTCATGATCTCTCTCTCTCTCTCTCTCATTTTTTGTTTTGGTTTTTTTTTGCTTCTTGTTGTCATGATCCTTCTCCTCTCAATTACTCTCCATCGTTTTTTGTTTTGTTTTCTTTCCTTCGCTTTTCTTTATTCTTCTGCCTCCTGTTGTCATGATCTCTCGTCACCCACTTCCATCTCGTTTTTTTTTGTTATATGATTTTTGCTTATGCTGTTGGTCATGATGCTCTTCTCTCTCTCTATCTCTCGTTTTTTGTTTTGTTTTTCCCTTGTCTTGTCGTTGTTCATGATTCTCTTCTCTCTCTCTCGCATCTCGTCTCTTCCTTCAGATGCAATCTCCTTCTCCATCGATCGCTGCCCTCCCACCTTACACATCTCCGTCACATTTCGTCGACTCTCTCGCTCTTCTCTCATCTCCATCTCTTTCTCATCTCTCTCTCTTCTCCTCTCTGCTCTCATCTCTCTCTCTCTTTTTTCTCTCTCTCGCGTTTTGTGTTTTGTAATTGTTTTTTTTCTTTTCTACTTTTGTCATGAATCTCTCTCTCTCTCATCTATCCTCCTATGCTCGTCTCCATGCTCCCTCTCTTCTCTCGTCTCTCTCCCTCTCCATTCTCTCTCTTCTCTCTCTCTCACCCCTCCTCTGCTTCTTTCCCCTCTATCGTCCCCTCCTCTCTCTCTCCTCGTCCTCACTTCTCCCTCTCTCTCCTTCTCCCTCCTTCCTCTCTTTCTCTTTTCTCTCTCTCGATCGTCCTCCTCGTTTTGTTTTTGTTTTGTTTTTTTTTTTTTCTTTTTTTTTTTCT